CACCCCCGCCTGGGACTGAGCCCCCCACACCCCGTCAGATGCACACTCCTCTGACCCTGGGTCTGGCCCCCTCACCCCAGGACCTCCCCACACCCTTGGACGACACTGTCATCATCCTGCCCCTCTCTACTGCCCCCTCTATTTGTTACCCTCCTACTACCCTCACCCTGCGAACACCTGAGTGAGGGGTGGTAATGGAGAAGGGGGAATAATGGGAGGGCTGTAAAGGGTGGGGGTCATGGGAAGGGCAGGATAATGAGAGGGAAAGAAGGAAAGGGGGTAATGGGAGGGGGTAACGATGGGAGGTATATCAGGGGTAATGGGAAGGGGGATGCCAGATCAGGATGGTCACAAGGGAAGGAGGAGCTGATCATGGGAGCAGTGGGGCATGGAGAGGACATCAGGGAGGTGAACAGAGGATTGTGAGGAGCTGGGAAGTGGTTGCTTACCCAGAATATACACTGATATGCTGTATATGCTCTGTTCCCGTGTGCCGATCGCTCCCTGTTTGTTCTCTCAGGCTCCTGAAGACAACGTTTGTCATCCCAGATGTCAAAGTGGACGAGGCCGAGAATCTGTCTGAGGACAAGGAGCCTGTCTCTCACACTGATGACAGTAAGTCCATCAACTGTAAAATCCTGTAGGTACTGCCTGATCTTTTACAACCGAGGAAGGCCATTCAGCCCCTTGAACCCACTCTGTAGTCTGTAGTGGGCCCGTGCTCCCTCTGGGTTTTAACCAGACTTCTCCCTCCTTTCAACACCGACATCTGTTGCTGTCAGATGGAGAACGAGGAATTGAGTTTGTCTTTATAGGAGAGAAGATTCAGATTCCAGGCTGCGGAAAGCATTCCTAGACTCTCCTCCTGGCATTGGGGGCGATATCCCTTGGTTAGGAATCCCAGATGGTTTGGGTTCAGCAGGTGGTGTGACTGCTATGAGGTTGTCCCAGAAACCCATCCGGATCACTCATGCCCTTCAGGGAAGGGAATCTGCTGTCCTTACCTGGTTTGGCCTCCACGTGACTCCAGACTCACCACCAACGTGGCTGACTCTTAACTGCCCTCTGAAATGGCCCGAGCAAGCCATTCAGTTCAAGGGCACTTAAGGGGTGGGTAACAAACGCAGTGATACCCCTATCTCCGAGATGGATTGTGACAAAAAGAGCTGGCTCTGACTGGGCCTTCCATTGTGTCGGGCTGACCCAGCAGGGGATCAATCTTTGGAGTTCCTCCCTCCTTCCCTTCCTTCACAGTCTGTCACCAAATGAAGGTTCAGAAAGCTCACAGGCTGCTCTGTTGTTAGTGTGAAGGAGATCAGAGTACAGGGCGTCACAGGAAACTGGCTTCTGGGGTGTGGGATGGCTGGGTTCTGGCCAGGTCCCAGACTGGGGCTGCCAAAGGCGAGTAGCTTTCTGCTTTCTCCCCAACCCCACTGCCCTGCCTGTGGAGATGAGCCGTTGTCTCCCTGGCAAAGGGGGTGGGCGAGGGTTGGCTGTCTGTTGGTGGTGTGGGGGGGTAGGGAATTGCGAGCTAGCCTGCAGGGGGTGCTAGAGGAGTGGGGACTGACTTTGCTCCCTTGCGTTGGCAGATTCCCAGGAGCGCTGCCCCCCGGGAGAGGCAGGTAGCTCCCAACTGATGAGGACCAAGAGCGACGCGGGAGCTCTGATCGTTCGGCGAGCCAACCTGCGCTCCCCCAGTGACAAGAGGAGGATCCGACGCCATCGCTTCTCCATCAACGGGCACTTCTACAACCATAAGGTAAGCAACCAGTCAGCGAGCAGCTCCCGTCCTGGACAATCGGCAGTGGGATCGCCACGCCGGGAAGCAGAGGTGCTCCAATTCACCAACCCAGCTGCCAGCTCCGACATCACTGGAAGAGAGGGTGTGCTAATGAGCCAGGAGTTGTGAGCGGTAGCCATGGTGCAGAGTCCAGCCTGCGGCGCATGAGAGCTGGAGCTGCCGGGAAGACCCATTGCTGAGACTCTGCCTTTGGCCAAGGGGGTGTGGGGGGGTCAGGAAACCTGTCTCCCTGAGCTCCTCTGGAGCGAGGAATCGATTCAGGTGAAGCAGGTTCGCTGCAGCTCTGTGCTGGTTTCAGAGTGCAAGGGAACTTTGAAACCAACCCCTGGGCCCCTGCTCCCAATCCACTGCCCAGTGACTCTGAACTTGCATCTGCTGGCAAAGACCTGACCCAGTCCTTCACGACAAGAACACCGCGATGTTGGGGAGAATGGGAATGAGAATGGACAGTGCGCTGGAGATGCTGAGTGGGTCAGGTAACCTCTGCAGAGACAGGGAGAGAGAGAGAAATGGGACCAGAATTTCAGGTTGCTGAGTGGCCTCACAGTCAATATCTTGTCGTTCTCAGTGTGTGTGTGTGAGAACTGGGTTTTCTTGCTGCCTTCCACTGTGGTGGTGATGTATCCCCCTAGGTCAGTCCGAACAGGGTCTTGTGAAACACTGAGGTAACAAGGTGTAGAGCTGGATGAACACAGCAGGCCAAGCAGCATCAGAGGAGCAGGAAGGCTGATGTTTCGGGCCTAGACCCTTCATCAGAACCTGAAACGTCAGCCTTCCTGCTCCTATGATGCTGCTTGGCCTGCTGCGTTCATCCAGCTCTACACCTTGTTATCTCAGATTTTCCAGCATCTGCAGTTCCTACTATCTCTTGTGAAACACTCTTGTCTCTTCTTTCCCACAGACGTCTGTTTTCACACCAGCGTTTGGTTCAGTGACAAACGTTCGTGTCAACAGCACCATGAGCTCGCTTCAGGTCCTCAACTTGCTCCTGAACAAATTTAAGGTCAGTGGTTCTGCGCATGTACCTGGTCCTGCCTGTACAGGGGCTGGGGGTGGGGGTGGAGGGGAAAGGAAGAGGTACTGGGCACTAACAGTGAGATCTACGTGCTGTGGGGCGAAGGGGAATTTCTTCCAAACACTTCCACTGTAAGGACTTGGACAGGAGCAGCTTGGGGGGGGGGGGGGTGGGGGGCGCGGGGAGGGAGCTGCTTTGAAGCTATGCCGTATGGCCAGGCCTTTTCCTGCATTTGGGAGTTCTCGGCAGCTCCTACCAGCCAACATCCAGTTCGCTTCGCGTCTGTTAATGGGGGGAAGAAAAGAAATCTTCAAGTCTATCAGAAAGGGTGAAAGAGCACAGCATTTTGAAATTGGGAGGAGGATCAAACAGAGTCAGCGTGGCTTCATGAAGGGGGAAATAAAGCCTGAACAATTTGTTCCAGCTATTTGAGGTGTGAACAGGCAGATAAAGGGGGAAAAAGTGACAGTCATAGACACATAGAGGTGTACAGCACGGAAACACACCCTTCGGTCCAACTTGCCCACGCCGACCGGATATCCTGTATAAATCTAGTCCCATTCGCCAGCATTTGGCCCATATCCCTCTAAACCCTTCCTATTCACGTACCCATCCAGATGCCTTTTAAATGTTGTCATTGTACCAGCTTCCACCACTTCCTCTGGCAGCTCATTCCATACACGCACCACACTCTGCGTGATCCTTAGGTTCCTTCTAAATCTTTCCCCTCTCACCTTAAACCTATGCCCTCTAGGTTTGGACTCCCCTACCCTGGGGAAAAGATCTTGGCTTTTATCTTTGACCCTATCCATGCCCCTCATGATTTTATAAACCTCTATAAGGTCACCCCTTAGCTTCCGATGCTCCAGGGAAAATAGCCCCAGCCTATTCAGCCTCTCCTTGTAGCTCAAACCCTCCAACCTTGGCAACATCCTTGTAAATCAAATGTCCAGAAAAAAAACATTCAATAAGATATCACACTATCAGGTTACTTATTGAGGTAAGAGCCCATGGTATCTGGGATTGGATATTAACATAGATAGAGAACTGGCTAACTAATTGCAGACAGAGAGTGATGAAAAGGTGGTATTTGGATGTTGGAATCCTGTTCAAACTAGTGGACTGGCCACAGGGATCAGTTTTGGGGACACAGTTACCTAAGGGAAGATAGGTTGGCATTGGAGGAGTCCAGAGAAAGTTTCCGAGGCTGATCCAGGGGATGGAGGGACTGTCTTATGCGGCTGCCTGGACTCACTGGCAAGAACAAAAAATAAGAAGTGACTTGATTGAAAATACACAATTTCATAGAATTTTTACATTTCATCGAATCCCGACAGTGGTGGAAACAGGTCCTTCGGCCCAACAAGCCTACATTAACCCTCAATTGGTCCACAATTGGTAGGGTTACTTCACTGGGCAGATATGGAGAGATTGGTCTGAGACTCTGCCACAAGGGGAAAACAAAGGGGCATCATCTTAGAGTCAGGGGTCACCCATGTCAGACAGAGACGAGAAGGAATCTCTTCTCTCAGGGGGGAGTGAATCAGTGGGATTCCTTACCGCAGAGGGCTGTCAAGGCTGGGTCATTAAGTATATTCAAGGCTGGGAGAGACTTTTAATCAGTGAGGGAATCAAAGGTTATGGGGGAAAAGGCAGGACAGTGGAGTTGGAGATGATCAGATCAGCCATGAATTGAATGGTGGAGCAGACTCGATGGGCTGAAAGGCCTGGTCTGTTCTTTTGTCTGCTGCTGTTATCACTGTGACCATACCAGAATAGCTGCGATGTTGGCCCTTGTTGAACCTCTGCTGCCTGCGCTGGCAGACTGAGTTTTCCTTCACCCAGCACCACTGGCCTCGCTACTCTAAGCCCGTGGAACCTCTTCCTGGCGTTCGGAATCCCTTCCCGACCAGTCATCCCCCCAAAAGCCCACTCTGGGCACCCCCAACCCCACCTCAAACAAATGCCCCTGTGCCTCGCTTCTCCGGTGCACGTGCACTCCCACCTCTGGCCCACCGTCGTCAGCCTTGGCATCGTCACAGAGAGCCCCAACACGGTCTGCAGTTTGATCCATCCGTCAGTCCCTCCGTCTCCTGCAGCCTGATTGGTCAAACCCACCCCTTGGCCAGGAATCAGCACCGCGCCCCCCGCTCCGAATGCCTCCTCCATGCCCCGTTCTTCGGGGGCTGCCCGAGTGCCATTGGCCGGTCCCTGCAGGAGGAGGGGAGAGGAGATTGGGTGGTGGAAGTGGGCAGCAGAGCGAGTGAGTAGGCAATGCACCCTCCTTCGCACCCCCCACCTCCCCCAACCCCCCACCACCCCCAACAACTGCCATCCACGAAGAAAGTGCAAGGCGAACGAAACAATTTGGTGATATGGCGTTTTTTTTTTCTCTCTCCTCTTGTTTCAGATTGAGAACAGTTCCAACGAGTTTGCACTTTATATTGTCCACACCAGTGGAGGTGAGTACGTGTCTCATGGTGTTACCTTCAACTTGAGCTCTTGCCCAACCAAGTTTTTGAGTGCGGACATAGCAATTGACCCAATTGAGGCAACATCACATCCAAAGCACTTGCGCAGATTGGGCCCAACAGCTGGTACCATTGCGTGGCATTCGTTTGCCAAGAGGAGACGAACCAGAGTGAAGGCTGGGCACGGTCTGTGTCCAGCTCCTGAACAAGAGCATGGAGTGAGAGAGTGGATAGGAGGAGTGCCACTTGGCCAGTGGTATACTAGCACCTCCTGCAGGGTGGTGTGAATGTCCCGTAGATGCCATCCTCCAGCAGCACCACAGCACACATAGCCAACCAGAGCTTCTCCGAAACAGTCAGAGCACTGGGGATATTCCAAGATATTGGCGAGAGGGGAGAGAGGGCAGAGCCAGCAAGGCCATGAGGAGGCCGAATGGTATGTCAGTCGTTATTGGTCAGGCATTGAGGGATGGGAGGAACAAAGTCAGACTGTGTGTGCAGGTGAGACCAGAGCTATACATCTTAGAATCCCCAGAGTGTGGAAAGAGGCCATACAGCCCATTGAATCGACACCGGCCCTCTGAAGAGCATCCCACCCAGGCTATCCCTGTGACCCCCTATTTGGTGCGCCTTACCCACCAAGCCTGCCCATCACCAGCTTTGTGCAGCTTGGGGCTGGGCATTGCTGAGGAAGGAGGGGGCCGTTTCACAGGCCGTACAGGCGTGGGTACCCCAGGCCGGTGCCCGAGATGGGATAGGCTTCTCCATGAAGACAGGCTGGGTGAACTCGCTCCGTCTCTCCTCAAACTGACAGGAGTGGTATTCAGACTTCCTGGCTGGAGAGTCCAGACACTGCTTCAGGATAAGGGGCTGATCGTTCTGGGATCGAGGGAGAGGTTTCTTGTCCTATTCGGAATTCCCTATCCTAGAGGGTTGTGAATGGTCCATTGCTGAGGTGATTCACGCTTGAGATGGAAGACTGTTGGATATTTCGGGGGGGGGAAATTGAGAGAAGCGGGTGTGGGGCTGGCACAGGGGCTGGGTGAAGGTTGACCATGATCCATCTGAAGGGCACAGCAAGCTGCAACAGCTGAACAGCCACCTCCTTCTCACTTTGTCACACTGTCACAGAGAACGGGGCACACTGTACCCCTCCTGCTGTGGTGAGGTGGGGAGAAAGGAACCATTTCACTCAGGGGTGCGAACACTTTCTCTAATTGGTGTCTCTGTCTCTATCTATCTCCCCCTCTCTCTCTCTGACTCTCTTTCTGTCTCTGTCTCTCACACTCTCACTCTCTCTGTCTCTCCCTCTAACCGTCTCTCTGTTTGTCTTTCTCTCTATCTCTCTCTCACACTCTCTCTTTCTCTCTGACTCTCTATGCTTCCCTCTCTCTCTCTGTCTCTCTCTCTCTAACCATCTCTCTCTGTTTGTTTCTCTCTTTGTCTGTCTGTCTATCTGTCTGTCTCTGTCTCTCTCTCTCTCTCTGTCTCTCTCTCTCTGTCTCTGTCTCCCTCTGTCTCTCTCTGTCTCTCTCTCTTTGTGTGTGTGTCTCTCTCTCTCTGTCTCTGTCTCTATCTCTATCTCTCTCTATCTGTCTGTCTCTCTCTTTCTTTCTCTCTCCGACTCTCTGTCTCTCTCCGTCTATATATGTCTCTGTCTCTCTTTCTTTCTCTCTCTGACTCTGTCTCTCTGTCTCTCTTTCTCTATCTCTTTACCTCTCTCTCTAACCATCTCTCTCTGTGTCTGTTCCGCTCTGTCTGTTTCTTTCTCTCTCTCTCTCACTGTCTGCGTCTCTCTGACTCTTTCTCTGTCTCTTTTTCTCTCTGACTCTCCGACTCTATCTCTCTTTCTGTCTCCCTTTCCCTCTCTCCACCTTCCCCTCCCCCCGCCGCAGAAAGGACCAAGTTGAAGGATTCAGACTACCCCCTGATCTCCCGCATCCTTCAGGGACCCTGTGAAGCCATAGCGAAAATCTTTCTGATGGAGAAGGATCTGGGGGAAGAGGTCACCTATGATGTGAGTACCTGTTTGATGTCTCATTGTTCGTGATTCTGCGCGAGTCCAGTTGGAATTGGGAATCCTCTGCTGTTTGATGGGTTTGACAGGGGCTGTCAGTCTGTGTGAGACTCCCGATGGACGAAAGCAAGACCTGTGGAAGTGGGGATGACGGCCAAGTAATATTATCACTCAACTATTAATCTGTAGACCCAGGTCATGTTGTGGGCACACAGGTTTGAAGACTTTCTCTTCTGTGCTGTAACCATGCAATAGTTAACTGGGAATAACTGACACCAAGTGGAGAATTGGAGGTAGGAGAATGAGCAATGGAAGGCACTGCTGAAGCGCTGCAGTGCCACCACAGGCAGGAGGGTATCATTACAGTGTGACATGTTTACATAGGAATTTTACATTCTAATGAGAAATGTTTGCACAAGCACATGCGAGATTTATGAAAATGTGATCTGTCTCCCCTTTTGGATTCTCAGCTAAAGCTCAGGAAGTAAGGAGGGGAATACGCGTGACTGGTGCATGTCGGATCCATTGTTCTAATGACTCTCGATTGCTCCCGTCACCAGTGTTTTCAGAGTGAAACCACTGGGCTTGTTCAGTACATCTGCTTGTTTGTGTATTTCTAGAATCTTCTATTCTTTTCTGGTCCCCTCTCCCCAGGTTGCTCAGTACATCAAGTTTGAAATGCCAGTGCTGCAGAGTTTCATTGTCAAACTGAAGGAAGAGGAAGATCGAGAGGTGAAGAAATTAACACGCAAGTGAGTTCATGTCCCAATCTGTTTAAGGTCTTTGTTATTTTCATGTGTTGGGCCAAGGAAGGGAGTCCATGACAGACAATTAACGCCTGAATCATTACTTTCTGAACTTTAGTCAGAGCTCCAAACACTGCGCTGGTTGAGAGAATAACTTCTTAATTCTTACTATATCTCCCTGATGTTACTTCTTTGGAAGATGTTTGTACAAGTGGGAGGATGTAACAGTAACATGACGCTTTTAAGTAGGAAATTGCAATGCAGTACTGAGGGAGTGCCGCACTGTCCCCAAAGCTAAGAGTTGTGTTATATTCCACTGCTGTACCCCTTCCCCACCAGGCTGACCCTGCCCCGGGGCAGTACTGAGGGAATATCGCACTGTCCCACTGCTGTACCACCCCCCAGGCCCCGGGGCAGTACT